TACTACCAGGTGTCAGAAGAGCCGCCGCCCTGCCTGGGTCACAGGAGTGTCTCCTGCTAGGAAACAGCTCTCGGGACACACCCACATCACGGGTGCCGCCCCGGGCCGGGGCCTGGTGCCTCGGGGCTCCTTCGTCCAGCAAGGCCAGCTGCTTCCGGGCGGGGGGAGCTCGGCAAGAGCAGGGGTGCAAGCGCACGCACGCCCGGGCTTCCTTTGGCAAAGCCCCGCCCCTAGTGTCGCACACGACACGCCGTGCCGAAGGAAGTCCCCGGTTAAGTGTGCAGACGGTGCTGGCAGAGGTGCCCAGGGCAGAGAGACAAACGCATCCCTGGAAGGAGCGTATTAAAATGAGGACACGGCCTCCCTCGGTGAAGGAGGATCCAGGGTGATCGGCCGCACTCCAGGGAGCGGCAGCACCTCGGGGGCCACGTCCGGGACCTGCTTCTGTCAAGGGGGAACCAGTGTGACCACATCGGCCCCGGGGGGGAGGGGGGGGCTCCCGGTTGACCAACTCTGCTTCGTCTCAGTCCCCTTCCAGGGCTGCCCTGTGCAGGTGTCCACACGCTGCGTTGGCTGGGAGAAGAGGCAGCCGCCGTCCACCCCGTGTGTCCTGCCCTGGACCGAGTTCCAGAGACCAGACCCTTTGGGGAAAGTGTTCTCGAGGAAATAGCAGTGTGCGGTCCCGGGGACACACGGGCCAAAAACAGAAGGAAACATTCAGTGTTCTGTCACTTGTGATGGAGTCCTGGAACGGAATGTCAGAGCAAAAAAATTACTTGACAAGATAACAGCCAGGAGTTTTGCAAATCTGTATACTCAGGCACCCAAGAAATACAAGAGGCCACAAGCAGAGTAACCCTAACATACAGCAAGCCGCACTGTAAGAAACAAACAAAGGCCACTTACAGAGAGACCATTGTCTGAGCAGCCAGAGAAAGGAAACCTCCACGGCCTGCACATGGAGACCGTGTGCACGAGGACTGTGCACGTGGAGGCCCTGTGCACGAGACTGTGCACGTGGAGGCCCTGTGCACGAGGACTGTGCACGTGGAGACCCTGTGCACGAGGACTGTGCACGTGGAGGCCCTCTGCACGAGACTGTGCACGTGAAGGCCCTGTGCGCGAGGACTGTGCACGTGGAGGCCCTGTGCACGAGGACTGTGCATGTGGAGACCCTGTGCGCAAGGACTGTGCACGTGGAGGCCCTGTGCACGAGGATTATACATGTGGAGACTGTGTGCACGAGGATTATGCATGTGGAGACCCTGTGCACAAGGCTGTGCGTGTGGAGACCTTGTGCATAAGGACTGTGCACGGGGAGACCCTGTGCATGAGGACTGTGCACGAGATTGTGCGTGTGAAGGCCCTGTGCACGAGGATTATGCGTGTGGAGACCGTGTGCACGAGGATTATGCACGTGAAGACTGTGTGAATGAGGACTTGCACGTGGAGGCCCTGTGCATGAGGACTGTGCACGAGATTGTGCATGTGAAGGCCCTGTGCATGAGGATTATGCATGTGGAGACCCTGTGCACAAGGACTGTGTGCGTGGAGACCTTGTGCACAAGGACTGTGCACATGGAAACCCCGTGCATGAGGACTGTGCACGAGATTGTGCATGTGGAGGCCCTGTGCACAAGAATTATACATGTGGAGACCGTGTGCACGAGGATTGCGAGGATTTGAAAGTAGAATAGGATCGATGTGTATCCTAAGCCCCCAAAGAAACAAAAATGTAGAACTAAGAAGCCAATAGCAGAAGTAAAATATATTTTTAAATAATACTTTATCCAAACTAAGCAGGAAAGTGAGAAAAGGGAACAAAGGACAGACAATACAAACAGAAATCAGATAGCAAACGGTAAATTTCGATCCAACCATACCAATAATTATATCAAATATAGACTAAAAAACTCCTAAATAAGTTGCCAGACCAAATTTTTTAAAAACCTAACCATTGCTATTTAAAGGTATATTGACAATGTTTAAATGGGAGGTGCACGTAGCGTGCAAACATAACCGTAAGCAAGTCTGTGTGGTCAGACTGTGGTCCCAGTGAGTGTGGAGGTGAAGGGTCACCTTCATGACCATCGAGGGCCCCGTTCAGGCGGAAGACACAATAGCCCCAAAGGTATATGAACCTAACTGACGCGGCTTGAAATATACTTAGCGAACACTGGCCGAATTAAAAGGAGAGATCAAGAAATCAGCAAATCTAGTTGGAGGCTTTAACACAGCTCTCCCGGTAATCAATAGAACCACCAGGGAAAGAGACATAATTATGGAGGAAATTCGAACAACCCCATTTACTAAATTGACTGAATTGCTCTTTCAAGCGCGCGTGAAGCCGCGGACAAAACAGACGCGATGCTGGGCTAGAAGGTGCATCTCCGTAAACTTGGAAGTATTGGTATGTGCCTCCTGGGACCGAGGCTGCAGAACACGGGCTCCGCCGGCTGCAGCCCGGCCCACCTGACCGCACCGGAGACCGGGTGTCTCCCGGGGGCCTAGCGGGGCTCCTCCCCGAACGCGGGGTCAGTCCCTGCCGGGTGATACCGCCAAGGGCTGGTCGGGCCGATTAATTCTTTTGAAGTGAATAGAAGTTAACGCGTCCACAGTTTTGCTCCTAGTGGCTATGGAGGAACCAAGACCGCCTTGGGTCACCCTCCCTCCGGGAACAAGCCGTCACGGAGGAGACACCGAGGAGGCACCAGCCCTGGACAAACGCTGCGCCGACCCGGCCGAACACAGCTTAAAAGCACGACCTGGAAGAATGAGCGGGCTGTTTGTAAGTGACTTACCTGTAGCCCCAGTAGAAGTGCCAGAATACTCTCAGGAATGCAAAATTGTGCAGCACCCAACACGGTAAAATTCACAACGCCTGCCATCCGGTCGGAAATCACCGGGATGCAAGAAAGCAGAAAAGAGATCTCTCGTCAACAGAACCAGCCCTGGCAGTGACTCGGGTGATCGGATTTGCGGACCAGGCACCGACAGCTTGTCTCGCTACACAACCGTATCACCTGCTCAGAAACCTCGTGGAGCCAACATGTAACGTGTTCAGTGGAGAATTAAAAATATCTTCTGAAAGACACAAATCTAAATTCTAGAGAAGAGAACGACAGTGTTTGAGATGCGAATGCACGTTTGGGATTAAGGGTGGATTTGACGTCGCAAAAGACGCGGCAAGTAAACTTCAAGATAAAGCCATACGAACAGCTCAAAACGAAATAGAGAAAAAAGAAAGAATTGAACCTTGCATCAGTGAGCAGTAGGAGCTCAAGCTGGGTCCCCAGAGGAAAAGGGCAAAGAAAAATATTTGAAGAAATAACTTTCCAAATCCGATTCAAACTGCAAACCCATGGATCCCATTTGCTCGGTGAGCTCTAAGCACAGGAACCATGACAGAAACTACCAGGCACATCATGATGGCTAAAAGACAGTGGGCCGAGGGCTTTAGGGTGGGGAAACAGAAGACCACCAACCCAGGATTCTTTACTCAGAAAACAGAGAAATAAATGTTTTTTGAGAGAGAGAGAAGGAGAGCGCACACGAGTGAGGGGGGCTGGGGGGGGGGTGGTGGGAGGTGGACAGAGGGAGAGAGAATCTCAATCAAGCCCAACTCGAGGGGCTGGATCCCAGGACTCTGGGATCATGACCTGAGCCAAGATCAAGATTCAGACGCTCAACCGCCTGAGCCACCCACCGCCCCGAGATGTCTTTAGACTTAAAAAAGCTGAAAGAATTCATCGCCGGCAGACCCTACCTAAAAGAAATACTAAAGTTAGTCCTTAAAGCAGAAGGACAATGATACGGTTTTGAAATCTGGATCGACAGAGAATGAGCTCCAGAGATGGGAATTACACTTCTTTTTTCATTATTTAAATCTTTTTAAAAGATAATCAACGGCCTGAAGGAAACCCGACTCCACGTGCTTGGGTCCCCAGCGTGCAGAGGCCACACGTTTGACCACAACATCACAACGACCAGGAGGGGAAAGCAAGTGCCTGCAAAGTCCTCCCACGGTGTGAGGAGGGGGTCACATCACTCAACGGAAGACTGGGACAGGCGCTGAAGTAACACAACAAAGAGACGTAGCTCATGATCCCAACAAGAGGGGAAGTTGAATTTTAAAAAAACGACTCGACCCGAAAGAAGGCAGAAAAGGAGGGAAAAGGGAACAGAGAATGCTTTGGAAAAATAGAAAACAAATGGCAGATGGTAGGTTTGAACCCAACCATATCAACATTCCCATCAAACGTAGACGATCTCAACAC